TCTTCATTTTCTGAAGAAGGGTCTAGGCCCGAAACGTCAGCCTTCCTGCTCCTCTGATGCTGCTTGGCCTGCTGTGTTCATCCAGCTCTACACCTTGTTATCTCTTATTAATAATGCAACTTTGCCTGAAATAAAACTTACCGGCTGAGAGCCTTGTCACTCATACCCTCACTGATCTACTCAGAGATCACAATATTTGAGGAGAAATTGACTCGAAATTGAATCAACTGTTGATGTTTTGTGTGGCCATTCGATTGAATGACAAGTATATTTATATTGAGGTGAACAAATTAAAATTCTATACTAATTGGACAGAATAACACAGTAATTTTTGTGATATTTGAGGTATATAATTTTTACCGGTTTATCAAGAGTGCCAGTTCATAAGGTGCTGGTTAAAACAATGGTTGCTGTAATTGTTTATTCCAACACCACCCCTCCGAAACCCCCCACCACACACACACTCTGACTCGCGCAGCACTGTAGAGGAAATATCTACCTTGCAATTACATTGCACGTTTCATAACCTTAAGATGCCCCAGGACACCTTTACAGCCATATAAGTACATTTTGTGGTATAGTCACTGTTGTAGGAAACGTGGCAGCCAATTTGTTCACAGCAAGTCAAACAACTGACAGTGCCCTGCTTCACAATGAATCAATAAGTGTGGTGCAGGCAGATCTATTGCAACATTCAAAAGGAATCAGACTGTTATCTGAAAAGGAAGTATGTGCAGTGTTACAGGGAGAAGGTGGGAGAATGGAACCATGTGAATTGTCCACTTGGAGACCAAACATAGACATGATGGGCTGAACAGCCTCTTTCCATATTGATTCTGTGTAATCTTTTATGTCCACCTCAGAGAATGGACATAGCCTTGGTTTCACGTGTCATTTAAAAGACAGTTCCTCCCACAGTGCAACCTAGATTTAAAATGATAAGACCATAAGAAATATAAACAGGAATGGGCTATTCAGCCCTTCCAGCCTGCTGTGCCATTCTGCTGATCCATCATTCCTCGCCTCCACTTTCCTGCATTTTCCCCGTAACCCTTGATTCCTCTACCGATCAAGAATCTATCTGAGCCTTAAATATACACAGACTCTACCCCCACAGTTTTATGTGGCAAGGAGTTCCAGAGACTCTCAACCCTCTGAGAGAAGACATTCCTCCTCATCTCAGTCTTTCATGCACACACACACAGACACTCTCTCTCACACAGATCCTCTCCCATACAGTATCTCTCAAGCACACACACAGTCTTTCTCTCTCTCTCTCCCCACGCACACATACACGTTCTCTCTCTCTCTTTCCCCCCCACCCTCTCTCTCACAAACACACACACACACACACACACACACACACACACACACACACTCACTCTGTCCCCTCCCCTAACTCTCTCTCTCACACACACACACACAAATCTATGGAGTGATTTGCAGATACATTCTATTTTCAAGAAACACACAATTTATAGACAGTCAGTCAATGTGGTGTTTTATAAATTCTTACTTGAGAAATAAAACCAGTCTGACTCCAAACCAAAACACAGACAGATTCTAAACAAGGCCTCACACCATTGTCTGACTTAAAATGTCTCTTCTTTACACTGATAAAACCTTTAGTTCTCTCAGAATAGTGACTTCAAAGGAATTCGGGGATTTACATATACATAGTAATCAATTAAAACCTTCTAACTGATTAAAGATTTAACAGCATCTTAGGTTTGTTTAGTACATCCTCATCAGTGGTGTGACCCTTTGATCTTTTACTTATAAATTCTGTGTCTGATACTACCTCCCTCACTAACACCTGAAGAAGGAGTAAGACTCCGAAAGCTTGTGTTTTCAAATAAACCTGTTGGGCTATAACCTGGTGTCGTGTAATTTCTGACCTTGTCCACACCAGTACCTCCACATCAGTCTTAAATTGGCCCCCCTTTATTCTGAGACTGTGCCTTCTGGCCCTAGACTGTCCCATGAGGGGAAACGTCCTCTCAGCATTTACCCTGTCAAGCTCCTTAAGAATGCTGTATGTTTCATTGAGATCACCTCTTATTCTTCTAAACTCCAATGAGTGGAGTCCCAACCTGTTTAACATTTACTCATTCATCCCTCCCCCTCTGGGGATCATTGTAGTGAACCTTCTCTGAACTGAAAGACTATCTGCCATAAGTTAACGATGTGATATCTTTCTTGCTTAAGTTAGAGTTCAGTTAAACACTCTGTTTCTTGTCATTTGTTGTGCAAATAGATTGATCTTGTTATGTGTGAAAGTGTTGTCAGATTCTTATTGGGTGCTGCAGAAGGAATTCAATACACAATGACTCAGTAGTTTAGGCCCCATTTCCCTCCTCCCTTTTAGACCCTGAGGGGAAGGTGAAATTGGAAACGGCAAGGAGGGGAGGAGAGAGAAAGAAAAGAAATATGTTTCTTGTTTCCTTTTAGACAGACTATTGTAAACCATGGAGAGAAGAGAACAGCACAGCAGTGGTCGAGGAAGCAGTGAGGCCAAGACTGAAGCCAACAGCCATGATGGGTCCTCACACATCATCACTATTGTTTTCTTGATGCTTCTGATCGATTTGCTTGGGTTTACTCTCATCTTACCGCTGCTGCCTTCCATACTGGAATATTATGGAAAGACTGATCACGTGAGTGCAAGTGAGATTTAGCTCATTATATCATACTTTATGGTAAAGAGAAATGTCCAGACATATATTAATATGTACTTTCCGTATGTTCCTGGTCAGTGGGCTGTATGTTGCCACTAACAATAGGATGTGTTATCAATAAAGAGATAAATTGAGTTCTACTCAAGAATTCAGCATAATTAGCATAGACGTTATCCATTAAAATTGTCTTTATAAATAGAGGCCTTGAGTAGAACAGCATAGATATTATGCAAAAATCTCATGTTAGGCCTCAGCTCAAGTGTTATTTTCAATCCCGGGCACGATATTTTAGGAAGAATATCGCAGCTTTGGAAAGGGTGCAGAAGAAACTTACTACAATGGGACCAGCTTTGTGGGACTTTAGTTTTATGGAAGGAATTGAGAAGCCGGGATTGTTCTCCTTGGAGCAGAGAAAGGTTAAGGAGCAATTTAATTGAGGTGCTGTTCCAAAGAGCTAGCATCGACATGATGGGCTGAATGTACACCTCATATACACTCGGACTCTATGATTTGACTTGGGCTCTTTGAAGAGAAGATGTTGGTGCTGGGGACTTGAATATTGTCCATTTATAACAAATCCAAACGTCATCCTGCCTGAATCTTTGCAGTGCACTCAATGGGTCACAAGATGTTTTGAGGAAGGGTCACTTAACCCAAAACATTAACTCTGATTTCTATCCACAGATGCTGCCAGACCTGCTGAGCTTTTCCAGTAATTTCTGTTTTTGTGTCAGTGGGTGATCACCTCTCTAAAATCTTGTGGAGAGGCGGTGGCTAGTGGTTCAGAAGCCGAGGCTAATTTTGTGGGGATATGGGTTCAAATCCCACCATGACTAATGGGGAATCTCAATAAACAACTTGAAATAAAAAGCTAGCTTAATAGTGAGCACGTAGTCATTGTTGTTTAAAAAAAAAGCCGTTCTGTTTCACCAATGCTCTTTCAGGACAAAAATTCACCATCCTTAACTGGTGTGGCCTTCATATGTCTCCTGACCCACAGACTCTTAACTGTTGTATGACCATGTAATGTGACTAAACCAGTGATGCCCACTATTTATGAATGAATTTTAAAAAAACTGCTTTGATTCTCTGCCCATAACCTTTATCAGGCTATGGCCTAGTGATATTATCGCTGGACGGTTAATCCAGAGACCCAGTTAATCTTCCGGGGACTTGGGTTTGAATCCCACCATGGCAGATGGTGGCATTTGAATTCAATAAATATCTGGAATAAAGAATCTAATGATGACCGTGAATCCATTGTCAATTGTCGGAAAAACCCATCTGGTTCACTAATGTCCTTTAGGGAGGAAACTGCACCCTTATATGTGACTCCAGACCCACAGCAACCCTTAACAATCCTCTGAGCAATTAGGGATGGGCAATAAATGCTGCCTGGCCAGCGATGCCCTCATCCCGTTAATGATTAAAGAAAAAAAAAATCTACCTCTGTGATTAGGCAGAGAATCCGGGAAATTCAGTTTAAAAAAAATTAATAAATAATTAACTCTGTTCACCATTGAGAAACTTGATGTCAACTGTGGCCTCTGACCTGACTTCTGAAGTCCAACTCAAGGGCTTAAGCCAAAAATCAAACAACTCTCCAGTGTGACCCTGAGGGAGTTCTGCATTGTCAGAGGTGCTGTCTTTCAGATGAGATGTTAAATCAAGGTCTCACTTGATCAGGTGGCTGCAAATGGTCCCATGGCTTCCCTTTCAAGGAAGGTGAGTTCTCCCCAGTGTCTTGGCCAATATTTATCCTTTAATCTACATCACAGAAATCAGATTATCTGGTCATTGTCACATTGTTAGCTAACCACAATCATAGATGAAAGAAAATGTCATGGGTGGAATACAGATTGGATGTTAACACCAGTAAATATTAGGGTCAAGATATCTACAGTGGCTGCCCAGCCTACCCATTCTCCTTAGCCATAAAGGACCTGCTGCATTCGAGAAGTCAGGGAGATATATTTATTTAGTGTAACTCATAGAGGTGCACGACACGGAAATAGACCCTTCAGTCCAACTTGTCCATGCCAACCAGATATCGTAAGTTAATCTAGTCCCATTTGCCGGCATTTGGCCACATCCCTTTAAACCCTTCTTATTCATGTGCCCATCCAGATGCCTTTTAAATGTTGTGATTGTACCAGCCTTCACCACTTCCTCTAGCTGCTCATTCTATACATGCACCACCTTCTGTGTGAAAAAGTTGCTCCTTAGGGCCCTTTTAAATCTTTCCCCTCTCACCTTAAACCATGGCCTCTTAGTTTTGGACTCCCCTACTCTGGGGAAAAGACCTTGGCTATTCAGCCTATCCATGCTTCTCATGATTTTGTAAAACTCTATAAGGTCACCCCTCAGCCTCCGATGCTCCAGGAAAATAGCCCCAGCCAATTCAGCCTCTTCCTATAGTTCAAACCCTCCAATCCTGGCAACATCCTTGTAAATCATTTCTTTACCCTCTAAAGTTTAACAATATCTTTTCTATAGGAGGCAGACCAGAATTGAGTGCAGTGTCCTGTCAGTGTTAGAGTCATAAACTTTTTACAGCACAGAAATAGACCCTTCAGCCCATTGTGTCCATGCTGGCCATCAAGCATCCATCTGTTCTAATTCCATTTCCCAACTTATGGCCCATTGACTTGAATGCTATGGCATTTCAAGTGCTCATCTAAATTGGCAGTGAGTTCCAGATATCCACCACCCTCTGGGAAAATATTATTCTTCAGATCCCTCTGAACCTCCTGCTCCTTTTTGTTGTGCCCTGGTCCTTGACTCTTCCACTTAGTGAGTAGGTTTCTTCCTACATCCTATCATTGCCCTTAATAATTTTGGACACCTCGATCAGGTTCCCGCCCATTGTTAATGCTATACGGCATAAGCCTTCTCCACACTCGAAATAAATATTCCTTCCATGCTGGGATTCTTTGTAACACTCCCCAAGCTGACTCCCACCAGTCCACTCTGGTACCTGCTCGTTCAAGAGCTTCTTTAAATATATAAAAAGGGAGAGAGAGAGAGAGAGCGAGAGGTCAAAGTGAATACGGGCCTATTAGAAAATGAATGTGGGGAGATAGTTTTGGAGAACAAGGAAATGGCAGAGGACTTAAATTGATATTTTGCATCAGTCTTTATGGTGGAAGATACTTTGAACATCCTTTAATACTGAAGAATAGCAGGAAGAATTAAATACCACCATCACTAGACAAGTAGTGTTAGAAAAACTAATGGGGCTACAGGTGGATAAGACCCCCAGCCCTGATAAAAGAGGTAGTTGCACAGGTAGTGGTTGCATTGGTTGTAATTTTCCAAATGTCCCTGGATTCTGGAGGAGTTCCAGATGATTGGAAAACTGCCAAAGTGACACCCTTATTCAAAAACGGAGGGTGGCAAAAAGTGTGTAACTATAGGCTGATGAGCCAAATATCTATTGTTGGAAAAATGTTGGAATCAATTATTAAGGAAGCAATATCAGAACATTTGGAAAATCATAATCTAATCAAGCAGAGTCAGCATGGGTTTGTGAGAAGGAAATTGTATCTGACTAATCTTTTAATTTTTGAGGAAGTCTCAATCAGAGTGGATAGAAGGGAACCAGTAGATGTGTTGTATTTGGACTTAGATTAATAGAATCTCTATAGCATGGGAACAGGCCCTTTGGCCCAACAGATCCATACCGGCCCTCAACACATCACACCCAGAACCATTCCCCTAATCTACACATCCTGGACACTATGGGACAATTTAGCATGGCCAATCCACCTAGCCTGCACTTCTTTGGATTGTGGGAGGAAACCCATGCAGTCACAGGGGAGAATGTGCAAACTCCACACAAACAGTCGCCTGAGGGTGGAATCGAACTCGGGTTCCTGGCGCAGTGAGGCAGTAGTGCTAACCACTGAGCCACCAGAAGATGTTCAATAAAGTACCTCAAAACAAAGGTTAAGTCATAAGAGCCCATGGTGTTGGAGGTTGTATATTGATATGGATAGTGACTTAGCTAATGGGCAGGATAATGGGGATAAGGGGTTCTTTTTCAGTTTGGCCACAACTGTTTATAATTTATATTAATGACTTGGATGAAGGGAGCGATTTATTGTAGATCGATTTGCAGATGACAGAAAAATAGGTGGAAAGGTAAGTTGTGCGAGGGATACCAGCAGGTTACAGCGAGTTAGGTTAGGTAAGTGGGCAAAAAGTTGGCAAATGGAGTTTAATAGACTATAAATTGTTTATTTTCAATGGGAGAACAAAAGTACGGAAAAATTGCAGAAAGCTGCAACACAAAGGGACCTGGGGGGACTTGTGCATAAAACACAGAAAGCTAGAGCACAGGTGCAGCAGGTAATCAGGACGATTAATGGAATGTTGGCCCTTATTTCAAGGATGTTGGAGTATAAGAGTAGGGAAGTCTTACTGCAGCTGTACAAGGTGCTGGTCAGACCACACCCTGGAGTACTGGGAGCAGTTTTGGTCCCCTTGTTAAAAGAAGGATATCATTTCAGTGGAGGCAGTTCAGAGAAGGTTCACTAGGATAATCGCCAATCTGGAGGGATTGTCTTTTGAGCTAAGGCTAAGTAGGGACTCTACTGACAGGAGTTTAGAAGAATGAGGTGATTTCATTGAAACGTATAGGAACCCACATTCTGTGAATGAATTAAAAAAAATTCTTAAGAGGCCTGACAGGGAAAATACTGAGGCTGCTTCCCTGCATGGGAGAGTCTAGGACCAGAGGGCATAATGTCAGAATAAAGGGGTGCAAATTTAAGGCTGAGATGAGGAGGAGTTTCTTCTCTAGAGGGTGGAGAGTCTTTGGAACTCCTTGCTGCAAAGAGCTGTAGGGACATAGTCCTTGTGTATATTTAAGACTGTGATACATAAATTCTTGATCAGTCAGGCAATCAAGGGTTACAGAGAAAACACAGGAAGGTGGATGTGAGGAATGAACTGATCGGTCACGATCCTGTTGAATG